TAGAAAACATAATGTAATACAATAAATATAAATCCAAAGTAAATGGGCTAAATGATATAGTAAAAGACATTGTCAGACTGTATTTTAAAAAATAAAAATAGTAAATCTTTAGCTGTTTTTAAAAGACCCATAGAAAACATAAGGATATAGAACAATTGGAAATAAAAAGAGGACAAAGGATATACCCAGCAAATTCTAAACAAGAAAGCTGATTTCACTATATTAATATCATACAAAATAGATTTTAAGGCAAAAAAGCATTACTATACTTAAAGAGGACCATTATATAATCATAAAAAGTTTTAGTCCATCGGGAACCAAAAACAGTTCTAAACAATATATGTGCTTAACAACCTAGCTTCAAAATAGATCTCATTGACAGAGCCATACGAGAAGTAGACAAATTCACCATTATATTATTATAGTAATAACAGCTAACATCTGTGTAGCATTGACATGAGCCAGACATTGTGCTGACCACATTACCAATTCTTTGTCTATTGAATCTAAGATGTTATCAGTTGTAAGATGCACCATTAGTATTTGAACCACTGGGGAAAAAAAGAAAGAAAATGTTGTCAACCTATTGTTCACTATCAATTGTTAGACACATCTAAATGTCAGAGATGCGTGCGTGTGTGTGTGTGTGTGTGTGTGTGTGTGTGTAGAAAGAGAGAGGAAGCAAATATGGCAAAGTGTTATTACTCTTTTATTTTTAATTAGTTTCAGGTGTACAACACAGTGTGTTATACTTTTTACCCCTCAATGTGACAAACCCCTCCACCCCGATATCATACATATCTATTACAAAAAGTGTTATTATTCTTGATGAAGGGTATCTAGGCATTCAAATTTTCTAGAGGTTTAAAAGTTTTTCAAATAAAAAGGAAAAATTATAACGAATATACAAATGCTTGCCAATAGTCATCATTCCAACATGTATTCAGTTCCCAGATGAGTTCAAAACACACAGAATTTTCTCAAAACCAGCTAGTAATGGGCCTCTGTCTCAGAAAAAAAGTCTGGGCTTTTCACGTTCGTTTTTCTGTTTAACCTAATAAGTTGTTTTGGCCCAGTCTCTTCCTGTCTGATAGATAACATTTCCACTGTAGCTTGACAGGGAGGATGTTGTTGGAGGACATCCAAATGAGGGCCATTGCCTGTGCTGAGCGGTGGCCCCCAAAGACCAGAGAAATACTGAGCCCCGTACCCAGAGATGCAGTGTCCACACTGGCTGAGGAGTGAGATGGGCTGAGCCCGTGTCCCCGTGCAGCCTTTGCAGGGCTTACTTGGAGAGGCGGGGTGGAACAACAGGGCTGATGGCATTCACAATGCACCGTGAAGATGCTGGCAAGGACATTGGGGAACCCACTCCTGCCCTGAGTAACTTTCCAGCTGATTCCTTTTTATCTGCAGAGTTGCTTTGTCAGCTCAGGCACTCAGAGACCTTTTCTCCCCAGCATTGTTCAAATCTCTTTCTTCACATCATGGAGCTATTTGAGATATCCTCCTCTCAAATGTGCTAGAATCTTTTTCTTTTTCTTTTTAAATAAGTCATCATATTGACAAAGGTAACATGTATTAAGGGATTATGTTGTTCCAGGCTTTGTGAAAAATATGTGACATTTATTATCTTATTTATTCTTTGTGGTTGAACCTTCCACAGGAACCTCTGAAATCATGTACCAGAAAGAGTGCACCCCGGATGTGTCACAAGGGCCAGCCTGTGCTCTACTGGTCCTCAATGTGTTTTTTGTGGCCTTGTCAAGTCTCTGGAGGGGGATGTGGGTGAACTACCAGCTGCTGAGGTTGCAAAACATTGCAGCTAGGAAGTGAAGATGAATAGAAGAACCCACATGTGAGAAAATACCCAAGAATTCTGAGACCAGAAAGGGATTCGACAGGTCGTCTTGTGTGCCACCACTGAAAGGTTGAAGCAGAAACATGTGTCCTGTTTGTTTGAAAGCCCCCCTGTGGGAAGCCAGCCTGTGCCAACTTCCCCTTTTTCCCCTCCCCCCCATCTTTCTCCTTCTCCCCATTCTTCCCCTTGCCAGCCCTTTCTGGCAGCCCAGCCTTATGGGAAAGGAGTTCACTCCATTTCCTCATGGGGCTCCTGCCCCGCCCGCCCCAGACTGGATTAGCCACCAGGGCAGCCCTCTGTTCCTCCTTTCATGACTGGTTCTCAGCCAAGGCTGCACATGGCAGCCTCCTGGCGCGCTTTAGCAATGGCAGTGCCCAGCCCTCACCCTGACCAATGAACTCCCACTCTCTGGGGCAGGATTCAGCTATCACTATGTTTTAATGCTCCCCCAGGCTATTCCAGCATGCAGCCAGGGTGGAGAACCGCTGCCCCGTCAGAGCAGGTGTGGTAGGTTGTATGTGCTTGTTCACCAGCACTATCATACATCTCCCTGTTCTCTAACCTTCAAAGGTGTCACTCTTGCTTTTAATACCCAGCTAACAGGGTCCACCTGTCACCCTGTGCTTCTACAGGAAGGTCAGACATTATCGGGGTTGTGAGAATCTCTGGGAAATATTTTCGTGGCGACACCTTTGCCTCGCAGCACTGCTCCAGACTTCTGAGCAGCTCGCCACTGCTCATCTGGGAAGCTGTTCTCCACGTCAGCACCTCACGCAGTGCCTAGTACTAAGAAATATCTGTTGAATTCATAGATAATAAAAAGTGGTAAACTGAAGCCTTCTTGAGGACATGACAATTACACATGCAGATTAAATAGAGCTAATTCTGTTTAAATAAATCCATAAAACATATGAAGGAGAAAAACAAAGGCAGTGAAAATATTCCAGGTTAAAGAAAAGGGTTCTGCTCTGTAAGATTATTCTGACTACTTAGAAATTGAGTTGCAGATGTTTTTCAACTTGATGTACAAGTTGGCACATTGTACATCAGAAGTCACTCAGAATTTTACAGCATCTCAATTCTATTCTCCATTTGTATAGACGTAGATGTGAAAAAAACTAACTCCATCTCTGTGTCCCAGATTTCATTTCATTTTTTGTTTCCTGCTGTGACCTTTGAGCAACCTCACTCACTGTCCTTAGCAAGCATATCAAAGCTTCCTAGTTTATGATTAACTGTGTTCCTTAAAATGGAGCCATAAATATTGTGAGTAATAGCCGGAATGGCATGACAACCAATAAATATAAAACTGGTGACGGCATCGATTATAAACAGTCATCGATCAGAAGTGGCCCCCGGCACTAGTACTGCATTCTTTGTCCCTTTGTCCTGTGAGCTGTAGTACCCGAGTTATACCATTAAATAAGCACCATAACAGAGGACTTTTAGCAGTCTGTGCAACTGGTGGGTCGTGTTTTCTACTCCAACTCAATCTTCCCACAAGTAACTTACCCTACAATAAATTCAGTTATATTCTTGAAATTGCCTGCTGTGGTTGTCAGTCTAAAGATACCTTCTCATATGGTGGCCATTATACATCTACTCCACCATTGGGCATCATTTTTAATATTTTTGTTTCCTGTTACTAAAATGTAGCCTTTATTTAGTTAGCCACAGAAGAATGGGTTAGAAATCTCACCCCCAGTGGCAAACTTTGTCTTAACATTAAAAGCCACCAAAACGTGAAGATGAAAGAAATGGAAAGTGACAAGGGTGGACCAAATACTGTGGAAGAAAAGTTAAACAACAACAAAAAAAACCGCCATAATTGCCCTTTCTTTTTCTATCCTTCCAGAAGTTTTATGTAAAACTAACTCATGGCTAGAAAACATGGTCTTTAAAAAACGACAACAGATTGCATGTGTTTGTTTTATTTAAACAAGGGCAAGATCACACTCAGATAGCTTCCGTTTTAAACCTGAGCAAGTTTTTGTGGCGATTACAACATGGGGGTGCCTCCAGGAAGCAGTGCAGAGAAGCAGTGCTAGTGATATCAGCGTGACGAACTCAGGAAGCTCTCTGCAAACCCTCGGTGACTAAGTGGTCCGCCTCAGCCCTGAGCAGCGTCCTGTGTGCAGTTTCAGCCCTTGAAACAAAACCGAAACAGATTTACTGAGATAGAATTTCAGGTGTCATACAACTCACCTATTTAAAGTGCATAATCCAACATTTTTTGTTGTTGTTGTATATTCATGAAGTTGTGCAATCACTATCTCATTGTACAACATTTTCATCACCCCAAAAATAGGACCCTTACTCATCGGCAGTCACTCCCCATTTCTCCCATCCCACCCTAGCCCTTATGCAACCACTAATCAACTTCCTGTGTTAATAGATTTGCCTCTTGTGGACATTGTATGTAAGTGGAGTGATACAGTATGTGATCCTTTGTGGCTGGCTTCTTTCACTTAAGACAGTGTTTCCAAGGTTCCTCCATGCTGTAGCGTGTAGTGATCCTTCACTTGTTTTTATTGCTACATGGTGTTCCATTGTATGCATAGACCACATTTTGTTTATCCATTCATCAATGGATAGATATCTGGGTTGTTTCCACTTTTTTATTTCTATGACTAATGCTGCTATGAACATTTGTGTACAGGTTTTCGTGTAGACTTCGCCCTCAATTGCTGGGTCTTCTGATAATTTTATGTGTAGATGTTTGATGAACTGCTAGACTGTTTTCCAAAGCAGTTCTGCACTTTTAAACAATCTTTTCACAGTGTCTGTCCCCACTGTTAGTTATTAGAGAGGCGGAACCATACTCTAGTCTTATCCTTGTCTCCCTAGCACTTGGAACAAAGGGGCTAACAGATATTTGCTGAGATTTCTGCCAGTGTAAAGCTCTCTATTCTTTGCAGTCCATCTTCCTCAGTCCACTAATGACCCTGACACTCATTGTGAGATGGAGAAACATTTCTTGGTAACACTTTTTCTGCTTTAACTACCTTCTCCCCAAACTAACTCCTCGTTACCTCTTCCTTAATCAGGCTCTTCTCTTTTACAATTTCTGCTGCCAGCCCTTTGGCTGGTCCAGAGCTCTCAGGGTTTCCTTTCATGGGCTCCCTGTCTTCATCTGCCTCATTTACATCGAAGAGGAAGAGTGCTGGGGGTGGGGTGCAGTGGGGGTGCCGGTTAGAGGATCTGTGTCCAGGCTGGCTTAAGGAAATAGGGAGCGGGGAAGGGATGGAGGGGACTCCCAAGAATTGAATCCTGTGGATTCAAGAGATATATATTCTTGATTCTGCTTGAAAAGGGCCTAGGATAAAACTCAAAGAGAGGAGTGGCTGGTTAGCTGGCTCAATATATTCGTATTGGATAAATCTTCTATTGCTTTTTCAACTAAGTCTCCATCTCCAGCAAATCTCCCCCAAGTCAGAATGATTCTCTGGGTTGTTGAACAAACTCAGAAAGATTCTGGAGGCTTTGCTAGAAAAAAATGATAAAGATTTATTCAAGCATCGTAGGGTTTGCAAACCGGAAACACAACTAAACAAAACCCAGGAATGTTCCGAGGAAGAAAGAAAAGTTAAGCGTTCTTGCAGTAAAAAGTGCGTCCTTGAGAATGAGCAGCGCTTCATTCTTAGCCCCAGCATTGGTCCAAGATGGTTACCAGTCACACGTCAGGGGTTTGGATATGTGAGTCCTTCAGGGGGTAATCAGAGAATTACCTGGAGGTCTGACATATATCCAGGCATCGACTGGAGATTTCAAAAGTTTAAGTTCCCAGGCAAGTTAAAACAAGAATAGAAGGTCCTCATGCTTCAAACTCAGGGCCATAATTAATGGGTGCTCCACATTATGAGTCCGACTGGGTAATTTCATGATGTGAGGACCCTGATCTGCTCCTAGTTCCTCAGGCCTCCTTTGTCCTCCCTCCTCCGGCCCTTTCTCCAGAGGCCCCCCGCCCCCACCCCCGCCCCTCATACTTCTCAGATGTTTGGGGGCTGGCTCCACAGTCAAGTCTGCAAAGCATTCTAGCCTTTGAGGTAAGAGCTCACGCCAGTGGTCCCTGCGCTATCCTTGTCCCCAGCTTTGATTTACCTGGCAGCATGTCGCCGCCCTGTCTGTCCTTTCTTGTCTGACCAGTCTCTTTGCTTCTCTTTGCCAGAAGCAAAACAGCTGGTAAACAGCTGTGCTTCCTCTTGGTTCTCCACTTACAAAACACTTCCTACCCAGAGCAAAGGGCTGCCCATCTTTGTTTTCCTGCCACAAATATGCCCTCTCAAATCTCACTTCTAGAAGAGCCTGGCTCATTCTGGCGCCACTCCCTGGCATTCTTTTTAGAAGGTTCCAGCTGCTCTGAAATAATTGCCTTTGGCTACGTGCCCACTTTGAACCTTTAGAATAAATCCTTTTTGAGTCTAGGCTCAAAAAAACCACTAATGGGTAAACATTTATTTAGTTACACTCCCCTTTCAGCTTTCTGGGTTACTGTACAGTCGTGATTTCAATTTTTAGGGCCTCTTTCTCTCTGCTGTGCCTTGGCGGCAGCCTTATTTTATTCTAAAACATTTGGAAATGACTTTCCCACAGTCTTGAGATGTTAGCACCTCTCAGCTTTTCCATGGCTGGGACATGATGGAGGCTACGTCTCTCCACTTTGTCCATAGGGCATCATCATGCATTAATTAAATCATGGAATTAATTAGGCAGTAGGATAGGGTGCTATGGTAGGCTGAAAAGTGGCCCCTACAAGACATCCTGGTCCTAATCCCTGGAATTTGGGAATGTGGTCCTCACAAAAGGGGTTTTTGCAGACGGGATTAAATTCAAGATCTTGAGATAGAGACATTATCCTGGATTATCAAAGAGGACACTAAATGCCCTTAGAGGTGTCCTTGTAAAACAAGCAGAGGCAGATTATATAGACAGAAGATTAGGATATGACCACAGAGGCAGAGATTGGAGTAATGTGGCCACAAGTCAAAGACTGTTTGGAGCCACAAGGATCTGGACAAGGCAAGGAACAGACTCTTTTCTAGAGCCTCTGGAGCGAGTGCAGCCTTGACAACACCTTGATTTGGGTTACACCTTGATTTGGGTTCAGTGGTACTGATTTTGGACTTCTGGACTTTAGGACTATGAGAGACTAAATCTCTATTGTTTTAAGTAGAGTTAAGTACCATAGTTTGTGGTGCTTTGTTACAGCAGCCACAGGAGACTCATACACATGGGGACATTAGCTTGTGTTCTGCGGGCAGTCTGGCCAGTGCTCTGATTCTGACTCTGTCATCACCAGCTGAGCGACCTTGATAAAATATTTTACATCTACGTGCCCTAGTTTTCTAATCTGTAACATGAAAGGTGATGAAAAGGATGCCCATTTTGAAGACAACTGAGGGTTAAATGCGGCAAGTACATAAAATGTCATCTGATTGTGAATGAAAAAATGGGGTTATGGAAAGTCAGCTCACAGAGTGATTCTAAATTCCTAACTGGGCAGGTCATGGGGGGAGTCACACTCCAGGCATAGAACTTTTTCAGTAAAAGGCTTATCTTTGCCTTAAGCAAGCCCTGTCCATTGTTTTTGTGCATCTAGGTTAACACACCTTTGAAATAAGTGTAACAGCCCTCAAGAGAGCTCATAAACTTGCTAACTATCCTGTAATCGAATCACCCCCTTGTTTTCTCCCATCTTCATGTAATTTTCCTTATGTTCCCTCTGTGGACCCTGAAAAGAAGATATCTACAAAGAAGGATTCCTGGTAGCTAACTGAACTCAAATTTAAAAGCAGAGCCTAGCAGCCTTTTCTAAACAGGGGCCTCTCATGCAAACCACACTTCAGAGAGAGAAGCCTCACACTGAACTGCCTGCCTCCACTGTGTGCCTGCCATCTGAGCCAGCCCTTATAAAGCAGCTCCTAGAACTGTATTTCAACCAATAGGACTGAGACTTTCCCCGTCCAATTGGAGCTGCGCAGCTGTATTCCTATCAGTATCTTCACCGACCAATCAGAGCAGCTCCATTCTGACCAATGAAGACAGGGCCTTTTGGACCTAACAAACTATGAGAATTTGGAGTCCTCATTTGCATGAGGACAGACCACTCAGGGACCTGAGACAGGGAGCTCTCTAAACAAATCAGCTCCCCTTTGGCTCCAGGAACATACTTTCCCTTTCCACTGAAGACTGAACACAATGTTTCCCTGGCTGGAACTGAAACTTCGAAGACATCTCATCGAAGCAGACGGTAGCAGGCTAGACGAACAGGTGGAGTAGAGGTCTAGCCAGAGAGTGGCCTCGCCCCAGGACCTCCTTACTGCCTTGCTGTTTCACAGCTATACTGCTTAATAATTGAGCTGTGACACTATTGAGCTGTTCCAAGGCCATGCTGTATCACAATTGAGCTGGTTGCACTAAATAAAGTTTCCTTCTTCACCACACCCCAAAATTGGGATTCCTATTGGCATTGAACTGACGCCAACAATCAACAGTTGATATCGCCTTATTTTCAAATTCATAAAAGAAACTGCAAACTGCCATTCTCCAGAGCATTTGAGGTCTTGCTTCTTGGCAACTGTCATCAATTTTGGCTCAAATAAACTCTTATAAAAATTATCTACAGGTTTGGACTTTTTTTTTTAAGATTTTTATTGGGGAATTGGGGGAAAGGGAACAGACAAGTTGCTGTTCTTTTGTTCTTCAGTCTAGTTGTGGAGGACGTCGCCTCACTGGCCCAAGTTGTCACCATCATTGCGCTCTTCCCAGGTGAGGCAGATCAGTCGCCAGCCTCTGGACGGCCGCTCACTGCGGCTGCTGGCCGCTCACTGCGGCTGCTGGCCGCTCACACTGGCTGCTGGCTACACATGGTAGCCCAAGGCAATCTATGCCATCGCCGGCGACTCATGGCAGCCCAGCTCCAGGTTGAGCTGCCGTTCAGCATCCTAGCTGTAGAGGGCAGCATCACTGGCCCTTAAATGTGGGATCCGAACCGGGGCCCTCTGGCGTCCCAAACCAGTTCTTAACCAACGCGCCACTCGGCCGGCCCGGTTTGGGCATTCTTATGTCGACAAAAGAAAAGGCCATGTGAAGACACAGCGAGAAGACGGTCATCTGAAAGCCAAGGAGAGCAGCATCAGGAGAGACCAACTCTGCCCACACTTTGCTCTCAGACTTCCAGCCTCCAGAGCGTGAAAAAAATAAATGTCTTGCTGGAGCCATCCAGCCTGTGGGACTTTGTGATGGCGGCCCTAGCACACTAATACACACAGGGTGGGTAAAAACAACTTGTAGTCTAGATGTATCCACACATCCTGTTACTATTTAAAAATGGTGTCAAGAATGCTTGGCAAGCTCAGATTTCCAAAGGTCTTGCACAGTCCTGGAAAGAAGGTCATGTATTCAGAGCCTACTGTATACACAGCGCTGAGTCAAGAACTGTGAAATACCAAGAAGAGTCACCCAGACCCCATCCAGAGCAGAGACAAAGCCACTTGGCTGGTCCATGGCCTCCCAGGCCTACCAGACCCTGCAGCTGTGACTGCAGACCCTGGCCAATGAGATTGGAGAAATTCCAGTGAATGAGATGATAACAACACACTAGATGTAGACAAAGAACTACCACATTGTCAGAAAGAGGAAAAAAGCAAGATCCAGGAAACTGAAAACCATGGAGAGTAATTCTGATTCGCTAGGAAAAACGAAATACTATCTAGGACTGATTACTGAATGGATGGTTTCGAACACTGTCAAAGTAACCTCACTTCTTTCTATGGATGGGGTAATTTGTACAGCTTTTCCTTCACAGTGTCTCTCAGAACACTGGTGTTTCTTAAAATGGTAACCATAAAAGGGGGAATTGATTGAGCGAGGAATTTCTGAAGCCCTTGGTTGAACAAAATCAGTTTGAAAACATGTTATTATTGCAGGACTTTTCATAGCATGTCATATGCTAGCACATGTAGTGAATTTTCCCAGAGGGAGGATATAGTACATATCATTTTTAAATATTTGATGGTAAGACCTTTTTTTTGGAAGACTATCCATAAGAACTTATGGAAACTGCTACAATTGGCCTTGGGTATCTGGATTTCAGCAGGTCATATCTTAATGATGACCATGTGGAAAAGAAGAGGAAATACAGTCTGGACAATAATCCAGTTAGAAGGTCTTGTGGCCAAGGAAACAAGCAGTTAATCGCTTCTCGTGGCATTTGGAAGATGCACCCAGGAGCATTTTCAGTTATTTAATCACCAAACTTAATAAAGGCCTGGAAGCCATTCCTTTCAAATCTGCAAATAAGACTAAGCTAAGATAAGCGATAAACATGTGAAATGAGACAGTCAACAGACTGTGACAAGCTGCAGTGATGGACTAAAACTACCACGACATCCTCACAAGGGTTTCTCGTTGAATTGAGATTCTCATGGGTGAGTGGCAAAAAGAAGGCAAGAATTAAAAATGGGCTGGACAATGTATTTGGTGTCAAACTCAGCCTGTGGTATATAATTGCGTGGGACATGTCTCCTAGAAAACCACGTGACCTGCGTCTGTTCTCCGAATCCCCGGACGCAGCCCCCAACGACCATTGGCTGAGCCCTGCCTTGCACGGCCTTGTTCTCGCCTTGTCATTGGCCCATCCCGTTTTCTAAAGAAACACCACATGCCAATCGGTGCACCTGGGTAAACGGTATAAAGGAGTTCCTCGTATGATTCTTACAACTTTTCTATCAGTTTTAAATTATTGCAAAAGAAAAAGGTTGAAACAAAAAAGGAAGAGGAACACTAGGTGTCTAGGGTCTGTGTCAGGTTATAAATGGAAAATTATATTTAGGTCCTGGTACAACCATGAAAACCTGCAGCACTTTGGGGTAAGGGTGACAGGATAAGGATGTTTTAAAAGCAAGTGGAGATATAATGGGGGACGCTGGAGGGTGGGAGGTTGCGGCACCGAACCTCCCCCAGGCTGTCTTGCTGAAGACTGAGGAGAGGGCAGCACAGCGGAGATGGGCGCACGGAGGCAGACCTCAGCTCCCCGGAAGGAAGACGTGTCCCTCCATCCCTCTGGTCTGAGTGAACACGCTGCCTCACAAGCCCATCAGTCAGGGCTGAACTAAGGGGGAGTTTGCGTTAGACGTGGTGATGTCTGAGGAGCCTTCCAACCCTCACACTCGGGAGTCTACAAAGCTATTTAAAATGCTCAGAGGAGTAGAATTACAGGCGGTGCATCTCAAGACTCACCGTCACTGATGGCCTGCTCACAGACAGGCTCACTCCATTCCCCAGTTTTGTTTCTATGGGAGCACTTGAACTTGAACACAATCAGTTATCCATGGCTCCGGATTTCAGAGGACCTCAGAGCTATAATGAGAAGTGATTTGAAACAAGTAAAGGTGAACCTATGAAAATCATTGGTAGTAGTACTAGTAGATTGAATGGTGTTCCCTCCTACCCCCAAAATTCATATCTACCCCAAACTCAGAATGTGGCCTTATTTGAAAATAGCATATTCGCAGATGTAATTAGTTAATTTAAGATGAGGTCATACTAGATTTCAGTGGATCCTAAAATGTTGACTGGTATCCTCATAAGAAGAGACACACAGACACCCAGGGAGAAAGAAAGTTATGTGATGATGGAAGCAGAGATTGGGGTGATGTGTCTCCAAACCAAGAAACACCAAGGATTGCAGGTCACCATCAGAAACTAGGAAGAGGTGAGGAAGAATCCTCCAGAACCTTTAGACAGAGCACAGCCCTGCCATCCTTTGATTTCAGACTTCTAGTCTCCAGAACCATGAGAGAATACACTTCTGTTGTTTTAAACCACTCAGCTAGTGGTAATTGATTAAGGCAGCCGTGGGAAAGTAAGGCAGCGGTGAAAGGCTCCACTTTTCCATTATGACCAGTTATAAACTCTTCTTAGTGCCTAGAATGAAGGCAGGGGAGCAGGGGAGACCCTCCCAGTTCATTGTATAAAAACCCGACACCACCCTGTCCTCAGCAGGGGACTTACCCGAAGGACTCAGGGCATGCTGTCTTGTATCCCGAACTCTCCAGTTCAAATAGTGCTCTAACCTTGAAAAACAAAAGAAAAAACCTCTGTCTCACACAACAAAGGCTCAATGTGATTTTTCTTCCTGAGTCAAGTTCATGGTCTGTCTCCTGGCCGCCACCACTCCTATCTGGACCAAGCAGGCACCAAACAATGCCTTTGTTTCCAGGCCCATTAGAATGCTTCATTAAACAGCCACCTACGAATGGGCCTAAGTTTACTGGCCTTGGCTTATGACTGAAAATATGCCCAGAAGGCTAAACATATGTGGGTAAAGTCTCTGAGCAGGAGAAATCATGCCCAAAACAGACTCAAGACGGAATTGAACAATTCTACAAAAACAGGAAATGACAACTGCGACTCCCTCCCTCTGAGGGCTACACTGCACACCTGTGGAATGGAGCAATGGGGCAGGAGTAACAGCCAATCCTTATTTAGCACCCTCTGTGTGCAGGTCCCGTTTTAAGCACATTTGCATTTTTATTTAATTCCCAAAACAACCCTATGAAGCCTATTATTTGCCTCATTTTCCATAGGTTGCAACTAAGGCACAGAGAGGTTAAGTGACTTACCCCAGACCAGTGCACGGTTCCTTGGGTGGGGGGAAATGGGCAGAAGCATCTTGTTGCTTATATGATGCAGCAAGTGATTAAAGGTTGGGCTTCTTGCTTTTATCAGCTCCTCTGACACAGGGCTCTGTCTCCAGCTCAGCTGAGCCCTTCACTCAAACATTGATGATACCATGAGAGAAGGACTGATGCCCTTAGAAAGAACAAGAGAGCAGTTACAGGACCCAGAGCCCTGGTAGGGGCCCTTGACAGGAGGGAGAGAAGAGGAGAACATGGGTCAGGTATAGGCAGGCTATCTGACTAGGCGGCTGGAAATTAAGGAAGTCTGGTGTCTCCTATTATCCTAACGAGGTATAGGTCATCAGAGCTTGGGGAGAAATGAGCAGGAATGAAGGCGTCCTCTAGGGGAGTGAGAAAGTGAGTTTACCCAGCAGAGGAGTGGGCTAGCCGGACAGTGTTGAGAGCCTATTTGAAAATCAGTGACAGAATATTTGCAAAGTCCCTGACACGGCAACAGAAAAATAGCAGGTATTTTGCAATGGCTGGCACCCCCCTTCCAGCGGCACATGCATTTCTGCCACAGCGGGGGCAGCACAGCACTGTTAGGTGGGAAAGGGCTGGAAGAAATGCTCCCCCCAGGGGGTGACATTGACAGGTTGCTATGTTTCTAGCAGTCCGGAGAAAAAAGGAACCGGTCAACGTAAAAGTTGCATCAAACAGTGACTTCTGTGCATTTGTTCCATTTGAGCAGCCAAGGCCCCCAGGCAGAGAAATTCAGACACCAAAAGGGCTGGCAAAACATAAGCAGAAATCTCCAGCCACTATCTACTCCAGAGTACAGACAGTTTGTATGGGAAAGAGCTCACGTGTGGATTGGTGGCTTCCTTCTCTTCTGGCTCTTCCTTCGGTCAGATAGAATCAATCACTAAGGTCCGTTTTACTGAAAGCCTGAGGTGTCCTGAATGGGCTGCCTGAAAGGCCCATATCCTTGACTGTGCTCACTCTCCTGGGGACTTCCCCCCCCCACCCCACCCCCAAGGTCCTGGGCACACATAGATCCAGACCCAGAGGTAGCAGAGGCCTTGTAATTGTTGGCCAATGGGAAATAAATTCACTCTCCATCAGCTGACTTGACTAGAACTAGTTAAACCACATCATTCTGGGAACAAGCAGTTGCAAAATGGCTTATGTCACTTGCATCATAAACACATAATTACACAATCTTATCAGGCTCTACTGTCAAGATAAGACGTTCAAACAGCATTATTTGTCAAAAGATTATAAGACAAAAGACACAAAAAAATCCGAACAAAACTGATCGGTTAGAGCCAATTATGTGGGCAGTTCCTCACATAATGGACAAAGTCTACCCCACCAGAAGATAAAAAGCCTGTTCTAATTCTGCTCAGACAGACTCTCCTGGAGGCAGGTCCAAGCCTCCTGCCCCTGTTTCTGAGCCTTCACCTGTTAACCTCAACTGCTCACCACAGGTCACTCTGACTGTCCAGCCCAGACAAATAAAAATGTCATCCTGTCAGGGCGCTAACAGGAAGGAGCTGGCGCACTTCAATAGAGTGACGGGGACAGTGGAATGAAGGGACTATTTATAGAGGGGGTGGCAGGGTTAAGGGAAGCCAACAAGGAAGAAAACAGTAGCATGAGGTCCAGCCCGGGCAGCTTACTAGCTCTAGACCTGGAAGGGGGTGGGAGGAGCCATTATCCCAGAGAGAGGAGGGTCCGCAACAGGGCCTATGCCTTCTGCTGGGTGGCGTGGCCAACTCAGGAGACCCTGAAAGCAAGGGAGCCCGCCTCGCTATCCCCCCACCCTCCAATCTCAGGCTGATGACCCCCACTGTCAGAACCCAACCCAAGTCTGAAGTCTGAGAATAAAGGACTCGGTTGATGAATTTTATACAAGGAGTCTCCCAGAACCCAGAGCAGGGCAGACAAGGGCGAGAATGGAACTGGGGAGGCAGATGGAAGGTATCCAGCACCCCAGGGAAGCAATATGAAAACAAGAACAGAGATAATGAAGAAGCAAATTTAGATACATGACATCTTTGCAGAAAGGGTTTTGGGGGTTTATACTGAAAATTTTGTAATCATTGTATTCAGGTGTGTGAGATTTTTAAGGTATTTAAAACATTTTAAGGTACCTCATAATTTGGCTTAAACTTTTCATTTGGAAGAGTTTAACTGATTAAGTTTTTAATCGCTGTTAAAATGCTTGGGGAACTCCTATTTCTAAAATTCATATTTTTTTATGTAATAGTTATCTAAGCAGAATGTGAATATTTAGATAATTATTCACTCCTTAAAAACAGATAGAAATTTAGTGTGGGTTCCTTTCAGCATACAAAAGCCCCTTGAACATTAAAAATTATTAAAATGGGGGCCGGCCGAGTGGCACGATGGTTAAGAACTGGCTTGGGACGCAAGAGGGCCCCGGTTCAGATCCCACATATGAGGGCCAGTGACACTGCCCTCCACAGCTAAGATGCTGAACAACAGCTCAACCTGGAG